TTTGTTCCTAATACGACAGTCAGGGGACCAATATACCAATATTGTGTTATCGCTTTAGACCTCACATGACATCATGTCGTATATCTGAAATGTTCACCCACAATTAAAAAATCAAAAACATTGCAGCTGCCAACGTGGTGCTGAACTGTACCGCCTCAGGTAGTGCTGATGTGCTCGTCGATCCCGCGTCGTAAGGCAGGTAGGATTAAACACAGTTAGCCATGTTTTCCCTCCAATCGTTTCGTGGTAACGACGGTGTAACGACCACGCCCCAGGCGCGTTTTTGTGCCTTCCTCACTCGAAGGGTTCTCAGAGGCTCCCTAAAATCTCGAGCCAGCGAGAGCCACGTAGCGAGAGCCACGTAGAAAACCACATTGGAAAACCCTTGTCAAACTACATCACAAAGATGTAGCAGAACAACGCTGAATGTTACCTTTGACGCATCAAATCAGGTCAAAGGGGTCATGTTTATCCTTTATAAGCCCCTCCTGTTACCTCAAGAAGTAAGCTTGTTGCGACAATGCGGAAGATGGTGTCGAATATCTCTTGAAAATATTCTCAGATGGACACTAGTGTACAGGGGCGGATGCAATCTATTATTTGGAGGAGGCAGACCGTTCTTCTGGAGCATCATGGAGGGCTGATAAGTATTTTGGGACTTACAGAACTGCACGTAGTGTCGCTAAAAAGGTCACATACTCCACATATGGCAGGAGGATGGTGCTTGACAGCGTGACGGTGGCCATCTTTACGCAAGACGGTGCACCCACCCACACAACGTCGAGAGCGCGGGAGAAGTGCCAGGCAAGCCCTTAACGGTTCTGTTAAAGAACCATGTTCGGGAAGTTCCCCTGACCTGAAACCCGTTGAAAATTTGCGAGCACCAATAACAACACCTCAACGAGACAAGCCTCTGTAAGATGACTGTCAAGCTGCAGAAGGTGCTGCACAAAGAGCAGACGGGCATCACACCCTCGTGCAAGAGCATCGCCAAGCTGCAGGGAGTGCTGCACAGGGAGCGGAAGAGAATCTCGCCCTCGTGCAAGAGCAGCAAGGGCAGCAAGTTCCATGGGTCTGATGTGTTTTACAAGCGGTAGAGTAGTGGAGAACTTATAAAAACATCCTGTTCATCTACATTAATGAACAGCTCATGGGCGATGGGTGCCGGTGATAATGTAAGAGCCATGCGCTGCATAGACAGGCTGTAATGCGGGGCTTCCTGCTGATCAGCTGTGATGGAACAGCATAATTTCCATATGGGTGTTTGTTACGTAATGCCATTTTTGGTGCAACGAAACTGATTGAAAAGCAATTTAAATCTATCGCTTAATTTCTGAGGTAGTTGTTTGGATTGGATAATCCCTTGCACTGGCACACGATTTTCACCATCAATAATGATGCATTCGTTCTAATAGTAAAGAAGAGTAGCGTAATCAAGCTCTTTCCCATCAACATGCATTAACTGGCCACAACCAACGATAGGCAGCAAAAGACGTCCACACCATGCTATCAGATATAGTATCCCAGGCTGGTGTGGACACCAATAGGGAAGGTTATTGCTGTGAAATCCGTGGACGTAGGGTGAGCTGGCTAATAAGTGGCGTGTCCGTTCGGATCAACGATCCAGTCACACTGATCATAACCGCCATGGGAGGTGTAAGCCAAGCCATGCAGAGCCAGTCAGTCCACCATCCCCGCCAGCCAGTCAATGCTGGCTTGATCTCTCCTTGATCCGCCTAGGTTTTTCCTGCACCATCAGACACTTGTTGTCACTGGTTTTGCTCAACTGTATCTTGGACAGCGTTTATGAAGAGCTGACATGGTCTAATTGTCTGACCCCGGGCACCAGGTGCAATATGACTGTGTGGTGAGTGCGGGTGGTAGGTGCACATCATCCCTCTTACTCAAGCAGCAGTGGATAGGAACCTAACTTAGCACCAAATCTGAGATATTAAAGAAGCGATCAAGCAGGGACAGGGCCGTGGTTTGCCGTTAGGGCCATCGAAGTTGCCGCAGTTTTTAATTTAGGAAAGTTTGCGTGTATACCTATTCGACATTTCACCTTAACGGTGCTTTATGCTTGGGTCCCTTAGGATCAAAAATACAAACGTAAAATGGTAAAGTAGTATACGCTGAATAGACAAAAACGTTTCCAGAGTAAAGTTTTCCGACTATTTCGATAGGGCTGACGAAGAACAACGACTATTGCCACGGGTTATGCTCCTTCCTGTGAGTTTTAGAATTAGTTGCCTATGGAATGCAATGAGGCTAGATTAGAGGCCGTTGAATCATATTGTCCCGTCTCGTTCCAATGCGCCATAGCTTTCCAAGATCAATCCTGGAACATCGGGTTGTAACCAGAGGCATCACTCTGCATGCTGATGGGAGACCTGAGACGCACATACTGACAGGAGCCGCTCATTGCTTTTCTGAGCTCCCCTCACATTTTCAACGCATATAAGCAAAACAAAATCCGAACCAACGAAATGCCACAAATTTCTGTGAACTGTGAGCACACTAGGCACAGTAACATGTGCGTGTGCTCTTACACCTCCATCCGGGCGTATTAATCCGGGTTAATTTTGAATCAACGGATCACTATGCGGAGAAAGTTTAACGTGCCGCTCGGTACGGCCTACCCATCTGTCTAACGTCACCTGATGACGTCATGACATCTGTCTGACGTCACCTGATCGTCGAGAGAGAGAGAGAGAGAGAGAGAGAGAGAGAGAGAGAGAGAGAGAGAGAGAGAGAGAGAGAGAGAGAGAGAGAGAGAGAGAGAGAGAGAGAGAGAGCACATTTCGGGACGGGACGGATACAAGTGTAGAGTTCACTGGTACATCTTCCACCTGTTGGTCTCACCAAAATGGTGTGGAGAAATGTAATCATCAAATTTTCTGCAGTGTGCTCCAGCGCGAAAGGAATATCGGGAGATGGCGATCGATTTTTTTCTAAGAAATCTGACCATGAGCACAGCATCTAAACGTCGGATTTGTGTTTATGACGTCGCTTAACCACAGCCTCCTGGTGAACAGAAGGTGTTTTATTTTTAGCATGAAAACTCCCTGCTCGTGCCTAAACACCAAGAGATATTCACTGAAACGCCAATGCACCGAAAAGCGCCGAAACACTAAAATGCAGCTTCCAACACATGTCAAATCGATGGTAGCACTGCCTTTTCAAACGGTCACTCGGGTGGCCGTACAGTCGCCAGCAGCTTCCAACCAGATACATGTCCATTCAGAAGGCCGTGCGGTTCGGTTCCATTTTTAATATAAGCGCATCCTGGCAGTGCACATGCATGTTTTGTGGCGTCTCGTCTGTACGTGTCAAATCACACCATTACGAATAAAACTTACTTCGTGCCCAGGCCACCATCGATGAACGAAAGACGATAACCTTTTTTGTTGACCACTGTTTCGAGATTTTTTACTTTGGACTGTGCCGCATTCTGGGCGTTGCACAAAAATCCAGCTTTACCCCGGCTTCAAAGGAGAAGCCATTTTTCAGCATCGAAACAATTTTGGGATCGGCCAAATCTTTTTTTCTAATCAATGTTGGTACCGTGGCGCAACTTTAAGTGGTCGAAATCCAGGAAAAAAGCAGGACCTGGGGTAGGTCAGATCGAGCGTCTGTATTCAGGTTCGTCTTCTGGTGGCGGGGAACATACAAGTCCCTTTATGCGCCTGCTATTTTGTCCTTGCGGGCATGGACTGTAAACTGTAGCAGCGGGCGTGGTAAAGGTCAGATAATATCAGGGAGTAGGCGGGCAGAGCCAAGCGTTGCGGCACGTTAAGCCTTCGCCGTAAAACTCTGCCGTTGGCCCGGCGTCTCGCGATCAGATGGTGGTGTTCAGGGTCACGAAACAGAAATCATTCAGCGTAGTTGCTGGTCCCTAAAATGTATCCGATCAAGAGGTCAGGGAAAAATCTTTAAAAAAATGTCACAACAAATTCCTTGGTTTCTTTTTAATATATATTGCCGAATTACGGCCAAATGACGATGGATGCCAACCACTCACTACCCTGGCATTCCCAGAGAACCAGGCATACAGCAGCCTCTCCAGCACACTTCAATGTCGGTCAAGCTTTATTACCAAACCTTTGAACAAATGGGCCGGCCGCCAATCCCTCCAGCCGTCTGACCTGTCTGCTGCCGAAGGCATGCACCGGGCTCAGGACTGTTCCGCAAAACAGCTGTGGCTGAGTTACAGTCTAAGGATCTAGGATTAACCTCTGAGAGCTGTGGCGCACTGGAGCGCGAGGGGACTTAATCTATGCTGTAATTGTACAAGTCGAATAAACCCTAGCGTGAAAGGACTAGTGTGCACCAACTGGGTTTCGCTTCTCGGCTGGTCCATCTTCATGCCTTCTCACAAGTTTGAGAAAGGTGCATGATGGCTGTGGCTATCTAGTCTCCTTCCATTTGGCCATTAGAACGAAAAAAATCTGCTTTAAAACTGTCTGGTTGACAACGGCGCACGTCGATTTATACCAAGACCGTCAAAGGTCACTGCCGACTGGGAATCGTTAACGTCAGTCGAAGCACTCTCCCTTGTGATTGACTTACGTGTTTGTCAAGGGCCAATTTGAGGAGGGGGGAGGGGGGATGATCTTACTTGTAACGGCCTGGTGGCTAGCGTATCGAACTTCCACGTCGGGGACCCGGGTTCGAATCTCGGTTGCACATAACCACTGGGCTTTAATATGGCCAAAGTAGTCGCTAGCGCTCCATAAAAGAGACGTAACGATTTTCCTGGTATTCCATTAAAGCAAATCAATTTTACGGCTGGGTGTAACATATATTTTTCCTAGGACAGGGTAGGTGCCAGTATTACGAGCACAGGCCTAGACCGCCCTTAATACTGAAAGGATTTAAACAAAGGTGGACCAGAGTAGCGGCCTTTTCGAATGAGCGGCGGGGTTTTCGGCCGGAGCCGCTGCTCGCTCCGTTGTGTCGCCCCTTCGCAGTCCTCGTCATCGCCGTACTCAAAAACCGACCTGGGTATGGTGAGATTCTTCCACTCGTCGACCGTCAGGTTGTAGAGCTCGCGGCCAGGTACGTGGCACCAGTGGTTGGGCACCGACACCATGAACAGGATGTTGAGCACCATCCACGCCAGCAGGAACGAGACCGGATACACCAGCAGGTAGATCAGTCGCCGCTGAAACCAGTCGGCGTTGCCCACCAGCTCCAGGATGTCGTCAAAGTCCATCTCGGTCGCCATGGTGCGCGCTGGCCAGGCGTCGGCGGACGGTGCCACAGGTGCGGTCGCTCTGCGCGGCCGACACGCGGCGCGCGGCCCTCACCAGTGCCGCGTCACGCGGAGCTGGCCCCGGCCCGGCGGCAGCTCATCGACGCGCCGTCTGGCGGCGCCCGGCCCGGTGTCCGTACCTCGCCGCCGCACTCTGCGTGCGCGCCCAGCAGCTGGCCGCGGCGTGCGCGTCCCGATCCGTGGCCGTTGTGGCCGACCCCTTCGCGGCCGCGCCCTGTCGCCGTATGCGCGGCTGACACGGCCCGAGCGTCGTTCCCGGCCGCGGCGCCCTCTGCGTCGCCGGCACTGCGGGGCTTCGCGCGCCGGCGCCGGTGGCGCCCCCGGCGGCGGCCGACGCGGCGGCGGCATCAGCGGCCCCCGCCGCGCCCCCGGGACCGGGCCTCCAAACAATAACGGCCGATACGGCCTGGCCTCAGCCACCTCATTGTCCTGCAAAGGCAAATAATCAACAGCGAATGGCTCATAGGACGCGGCCGTAAACGGTCTTGGTGGCTGGTGCGGGCTCGTGATCAGCTCCGCGGGTCATGCTCTGGCCGCGGCCCAGCCGGTTACACCGGCCCAGCGCCGAGCTCGGGGAGCGCCAGCACCGCTTAACGGGCGCCCAACTTCGTATCAGGCACTTACGGTGAAAGACTGATGACAATGTCGCTGTAATTGTCCGAGCAGGATGTCCATAAGGGGCCTTTGGCGGCGGCGATAGTGGCTCAGATCTATGTAAGGAAACGGAGAGGTGCTTCCACCAGGCTGACCCGACATTGGAGGTACCAGGCTGTATGGTGCACTGCCTCGGCTCCATAGCTCGCTTCGGAACGAGGGCCCAGCGACGGTGAATGAACCGGCATGACACTGCGGTTATCCAACTTACCAACCACGCATCTGGCATAATAACACCACCGGGCCCGCTGTGACGCAGCCGTCGAGAGCGCTGTGTCCTTGAGCTGGTCTGAAGTGACGTCACACCGCACGCAGCCTCGAGGTCATCGCACGATTATTGACGGTCCAACACGCTACGCCCGCCTCATCAGCTTCCGCCCCGCTCTGATCCCACCCGGAAATCTCTCACAGCCGGCTCTCGCTGGCGGCAGCCTCGGTTCCCTTGAATAGGGCATGCACTTCCTTTCATTTCACTTCTATTGCAACCCTCACGTATAAATTCCTTTGGTAGCTTTATGAAGACGAGGCATGCTAAGAAAATATATGCATAATTTGACCAGTGGCAAAATTATAGCGGCGGTGATGAGATCTGCGGGCATGTACATATAGCTTTAGCATGGCCCGGTGGGAAAATAGTGCATGGTTGTATTTTTTTGCTCGCATTCACGTGCAGAACGCAGTTGATATGCTGGTCGCTGCGGTATAGATCGGGTCCGTTTTGAGATGCCCTCGTCCTGTCGGACCGTTGTATCCGGTTGAGTTCGAACTGCTGTTGATGGCTCGGGGTTGGGCTTGGCGCAAACGCACAATGTCGGTGCATAGATAAGCAGACAATATCACGCAGGTAGCGCAGATAACGCGCAGATAATATTCATGCAAAGAAACTGTTAGATAAAGGGAGTGTGGCAGCGATCACACCCAATTTCACAGGACACGAACCCAATAAGTGTGCAAATTTATGAAGAATACTGCCACCTCAAGTTCACCCTAATCTGGTTTGTCTGCCCGCAGTTAGGAGGTGGGGGAGGGGGAGGGGGTGCACGGATTCCCAACCTAAGATCTTTAACATTACTGGGCCTATTTCCGACGCTGAGCCGCTGACTTCGGCTTTAGGTATCATGGTTTGTAGACTTGAAAGCCTGATTCACAGAAACAATCTTGCCCGTCCTTTCCCCTAATATATTTAACAGCTTTTCTATGCTGCGGCGCATATATGACTTAGAGCCCAAAACCAGTTAGTCATTCTCAGGACCAATTAATACCTGATGGGAGCCGGAGAGTTAACAGCACGAAATGTTGTGTACATATGAACAAGATATGTACAAATATGCACAAGACGACGACGAAAGTCCGAAACATTTTCCACCCACAATGCCCACACCCAGTCTCAATCATTGCGCAGAATCCTGGTTGTTTCTTTTTATTCAATGCAGTTTTAGCAGGGGGCAAATGTGGTTTTGGACTCGCACAACGTCTGCTTTGGCTGCAACTTCGGCTCCATATCATTGTCTTAGCTTCGAGTTTTTACATGAAGGCCAGAAGCCTCACTTCGTCCCTATTGCCGGTTCTGAGTGATGTATTTGTGCAAATAAGATAATGGGTGACATAATTTATGCCGCTTTCAGACGACTCCGTTGGGCATCTTTCGTTCCCCCGTAACCTTTGCAGGTGTCAGCGACGTCTCTTCAGTATACCGAGACGTCTCTCCAGATTTGGGAGCACCAAGCTATTAGAGTAGCCTAACCTGGTGGGTAGTTTCAGGTCTCACGGGAGTTCATCCCTAGTTTTACCTGTCCATTAAAACTACGTAAGCTGTTCAGTGCATTAGCGAGGAACATTAGTCATATAGATAAGACAGTAGTATTAGCCTTATTCCTCGGGAAAACCGGGAGAATAGAGATATAGTTAGGTTGATATTTCGACAACATGTCTCTCGAAACAATAGCAGAACTCGATATAGCAAGTGAACAATAGCAAGTAACTTCTGCTCTTGCAACCTATCTGTATCTCTATTCTCCTGGTTTTTCCGAGGCATAAGACTAGTATTACTGCCTTATCTACGTCCATTAAAACCTTGGGAACATTTTCAGATCCCAGGGAAGCCTTTGCTCGGGCGACGCAGCAAACAGGAGGGGGGGGGGGGGGAGACAGAGGGGGCAGTTGTCACCGTGCTGTCCGGCAGGGGGTGCAGTAATGTGTTCTGGCCCCTGAATTTTTGGAGACGCCTTCGCCTGAATTCACTGCTTTGTAGCTACCTATCAATGTCCAAAACCCTGTCTTTTTGACGTCCATTTTTTGTGTTGGCGTCAGCCTTGTCAATGAAACCAGACGTCAGACATGCTGATAAAATCCTGACGAACTGCGCTCCGAGAATCTGAACGCTCTTTTGTTCTTTCGATGTTCTTTTCACTCTCAGAATATGTTTTTGTACACCACTGGCGTACTGTGGACGATGGGGGAAACCATCCGGTGTTGGAACATCCAGACTCTCTTGGGCGCTCTTCAAGCCCTTGGAGCATATTTCCAGACCTCGGAGACATGTTCTGAGTCTTCAGGTACACTCTGCGGTTCGAGGCTTCCTTTAATCGTAAGGGTGTTTTCTGGACTCTAGGACATATTCTCAGCTTACAGGCCCACCATGTGAACCCTTAGGAACGTCTCATGGATACCACACAAAAATTATTTTTAAAGCGCCTTAGAGAACACCTGAACACCTGGGACATCTTTTGAACATCAGTGGTGATCTTTGAGCCCTCGAGCGCCGAAACCCCAAGGTTTGAGGCACCCTTAACTGCTTAGGGTGTTACGATTCTTCTTTCCCTCGAAACACCTTCGAAGCTTACAGGCGACCTTTGAGCCATCGGAGGCGGTTCCAGTTGTTGGGTGCCCTTTAATTGTTATGGAAGCCCTCCCAACCTCAGGCCATACGCTGTGGGAGCCGAAGAAGTACTCTACGCGCGGGGAGGAGGAGGGGTGGGGGCGGGGTGGGGGGGGGGGGCAGAAGCCTTCCGGCCCAGGGGTTTGGGACATCCTTTCTTTTCACAGGGCACCTTGTAGACTTCACGAGAAATCGGCAGATTCACAGAACACATAGCATCCCTGCATTCCTGGGGCGCCCCCCCGCCCCCCCCCCCCCCTTCGCCAGGGTTTGGAGCACAAATATTTATGATCATGAACACCTATCTTGCTCCAACCCGTGCCGCGCGCAACTTTAGAGGTGCTACCATAGGAGAGTTCCTCCAATACCCTCAGGAGTCTTTAGAGAAGTGCCTTTTAGAGAGTTATTTTTCGATCAGAAGGGGCATGTGTCGCACTGCCTTGCCCGACTTTGGATCCGTCTCTGCATAACTCCCATGCACTTAGTTAAGGACTATTTAATTAATGATGCAAGCATTAGAAATTTCAAACCCTTTGGTCAAAATAAAGTGGGCTAAATCAGCTGAGAAAAGACAAAACATGACACCCCGCTAAACAGTTTAGTCAATCGTCTAAGGTTTCTGCCAGCTGCTGCTTTGCCGACAGAGGGCCCTTTGCGCCGATCAGCGACACCCAGAGTCCATATGAGTCTATACGCCGGTCAGGCCCCACCAGTGCCGCTCAGTCCGCTCCGGATCGGCATGGACCTCAGGGCCCACTTCCCAATCAGCTAAAAAGCCGGGGCCAGTAATTTACACTGGTCGGGGCCCCTGTATCTGTCAGCGGTCCACAGCGCCTAGCAGAGGGTTCTGTGCTCGCAAGGGGCCCCGAGCCGACTAAAAGCGGTGTGTGACTAGGCCCGAAGAGAGTCCGGGCGCCCCAACGGAACCGACTGTCAAAGGCCCGGCTGGAGGGCATGAAGGCCCGAATAATTAGCTGTAGATGACACAAAAATTCACTGCCCGTAAAATTCGCTGCTCGTGACCTGAAACATCGGTCAGAAGTCCCCTTACACCGTTTGAGGACCGCCTGACACAACGCGGGCGTCTAAGTCAGCCAGAAACCATGAGCACCAAACAGTTGGTTGTCAGTCCAAACCCTGGGGGCCCATTTCACAACCATAAGCAAGACCGAGGGACACGATTGGCACTGGTCTGCTCTAGGCCCTGGAACAGTGCCTTGGGCCCCTGTGTCGGTCAGTTCATCTCGCGGTAGCTTCTGGCTTCTATTCCAGTGATGGAGAGTGAAAACAAAAAGTATCAAAGATGAGCATACTTTCATTAGCAAAAGACCATGTTGGGCGATTTGGGGGGGGGGGGGACCTTTTACTATCATGTGGTCTTTGTCAACACTGTGCCCCTCCTTTGCCAATGCACAGGCTGCGCGCCTGGTTTGGCACAAAGGGGACACATGGGTGCCCTCCACTCCGGCCTGCTTTCCTCCTTCAACTTATGATGAGCCCGTCTC